GCCCCTTTCTTCATATTCACTGCTGGGAATTCTGCTTTTGCTGTGAATGACTTTATTATCATGTGTTATTACGCAGTTGAATTATACTAGTTTAACAACGTCGTCAAGGTATTAGCGAACATATCATCTATGAATAACATCATCACTTTCAACACTGTCGTATTTCAAGATACGTAGTATTCATACTTCAGAGTTCGAAATGAGCCTCGCAATTGTGCTCCACATTATCGAGCTAGCTCCCTGACCCTTTTTTTCTTGAGTTGAGTATTGTATGTCTATCGATTCCTAGTAGTCTTCGAATTTCTTCATTCTCCAAGATTTATATACCCTCCCGTCATGAATGGCTCGGAATGACGAGACTGCGGATCCACTTTAAACAAAAGATACTCAATATCATCTAGCTCCTGAGTTAGTTAGCTCCGCAGATACCTCACAATGAGTTGGGATATTGAAGTAAATTCCTAGTATAAAATTTACCATGAGCAACTATTTGCAAGTGTAAGCTTAACACACCATAAAACATTTAACGATGAGCGAATACCTATTCGTCCTCTCTTGAAATATAATCCCAGATGTTGTAGGTTACTTATCTAGTGAAATGAGAAGCGCCCTGAACTCTTAAGGGAATTTGTATTCATTCTTGTTGTCAGTAGTTCTCGCTTTTGTCGCCATAACATTATTCTTCTCCTTATCATCATTTATGCGCCCGAAACCGAGTTGTTAGGATGCGTCGCAACATCATTTTTACTCCCCACCACGCCAAAATCCTGATAGAATCGTTTGGGCACTAAACGCGGAGCGGAGCGCCTTACTTCTGTGCATATCGCTCTTGGTTTTGCCTGTGAAGAAAGGAAAGACCATTTAGGTTATTTTATATCTTTAAATGGGCACCAAAGTCAATTGTGGCGCGCCCTGGTGATAGTTGCAACTAATGGTCGGTCAGATTTCCAAAGTAAGCAAGGGTGAGGTAATGTCAATTTCAGATTCTCAAGCCTAATATACTACCAATGATATCTGCGCAAACTGTGTCATTTCTTTAGTTGATCTGAAAAAGAGAACCATAAGAGAAGCACTCTGAGTCAAGACATTGAACGCCAGAACGAGACTTTTATGAAGTGGATTCACAAAGGTGCAACTTCAATACCAACTTAAGGTACTCATTTTAATGATGTTCACCAAGGGTCTGATGTTCTTGATATAATGGAAACCGACTTTGTGATGTCTTACTATATTACTCGTATTAGCATTGTCGATTTCACAGATTTTTATAATTGTGCTACCTCCGATTCTTTTCGTTCTTTTCGTTCGTTGTCAATAATATGTATTCATCTACCTGCAATTCAATCTGCCATGTTATTCTTTCCCATCATGCGCACATTCTTACTGGACAATTCTTGCGTCTGTGAACCCTTTACTCGGTATATCAAGTGACAGGCTCCCTGGCGCGTAAATTTGCTTGGTTTTAGATAATTCATGATTACTTAGAGAACTACTAAACGGCTTTAATCTACTACTTCCAGATGATATATGGGATATGATTTTTTCACTTGTGTGCCTGCTGATAGCGAATACTTCAACTCGTAACTTCATGCATAAAAAGGACATCTGTTCCATCCTTTCTTAATGCTAAATCGTTTACAAAAGATGCATTCTTGAGTTTAAGGACCTTCCTATGCTCAACGATTCCTGCTGGTTCATGTGTGGTTTTCCTTGAAACTTGGATTACGGTGTTTAGAGACTCGATTAAACCTATCTGTATAAGGGCGGCTATCAATTATCATTTTCGATATTACTGCCAATGCATCTCAACGATAATTATTCATTCACATTCTCACCAAATCATAGTTTTATTGCCGCTTTATTCATGTTCATGAAAGATCAGCAATATTCACTGCCCCAACTGGTCATATAATCTGTTCCTTAAGCTGAAGGACAAGAACTCCATAATCTAATGAAATGTTAAGCATACGTTGTCCAAAGATACACATCTTCTTCTCCTTCGCTCCTTTCGCTTTTTGCCCTGCATTTTACTCTCGACTCTTGACTAGCGAAAAGTAGGAATTGAATCTCTTTATATACCATTCGATCCGGCCCAGTCAGGCCCAACTCCATAATCTCCTTGTCTATTCACCAATTCCATTTCCAAAATTCACTCAGATTTGCGCCAAAAAAGAACCATGCCGAAAATGACATTATGTCTCTCTTTAATCACTATAAAAAGCTCCGATTGAATAAAAGAAACTTTTTCTCCGTCACTCTTATTACAATTCATACCCATGCCTGCACAGGCGATATTGCGGCATGAAGCCCGTCATGGTATATCTTGGAATCTGTACCTTTTGAGTTGCTAGCCATATCTAAGAGCTTCCTGAAAACCCAAGACTCTCGAGTCCTGAAACTATTTTCGTTGTCGAAAGTGACACCATACTTTGTGACTGTTATTTTCATTACATACATCATTCTCCGTTGCTGCTGGTAAGAAACTGTAAATTTCGTTTTCAACATTCAATGAATAGGCTCATATGATACCATTGTTCTCAACTCCAAATTGTCCCTCTATTTGCTCTGCGAGGATACAGGCCGCACTTGCAATATCCAGGTCGACTGACGCATACAGTGATTACTCGCCAATAGTATGAATTGCTCGGCTTAAATATCCACTTTACAAAATTTCAGAAGCATGAGGATTGGAATCGAACCCACGGGTAGGAGATTCTGATGGGAAAGCATGCCTTATTCGATACTTGTGTCAGTTGATATGAATGAGTGAGTGGGCTATGAAATATATTCCTCCTTTAAAATGGCCCTTAATATCATCTTCCAAGCTTGACAGAGATATGTAACTTGATATTCAGAGACTAAGACTGTTAATACCGCTCGGGGAGTCCCAAATGTAACTCGTGTGTCCTGGAAGGCCACCTGGAGAGATGAAGCTATCTCCAGGGACGTCTATATACTCATATAACCACTGCTTTATCCTGTTTCTTGCTGTCAATAAGAGTTTTGTCGTCAAATTTCCAGTTCACATGTTTCATTGATACTATCATCCCATTGCTTTCTCATTATCTATATTTCCCCACTTGACCCAGGTCCGCATCCATACCTAAGGTTACATAGAGTCATACTGTAGGTTCGAGAAGTTAATTGCAGAGCATACTTCACGCAAATTTCAACCCTAAGAGTCAAATCCACAATTTTCATATTCATTGACTGGAAAATCACTGTAAGAATTGAGAAGGTTTATATACTTCTCCCCCACACAATCTCACTCACTTATCCGCCTATCACAGACTCTATCACATACCTACATAGTTCCATACAGTATTGAATGGATTCGTATTCCATCTCAATATAAATTGATCAGTATTGTACAGCTTTGAGCAGTAAATCTACCCCAGCCACCAGTCAATAATTCATTCGGGACTCAAACATCCAACCTCTTATCAATCCACCTCTATGCCACTATTTAGTTCATAAATCTGACCAAAACTTGGATCTTCAACCATCAAGCCTTAACAACGTCGATTTTCTCAACATTTCACACTTGCAGATTTTCACTGTCTTATTGTTGTTTTTAGATGTCTATGCGAATCAATGTCGCGCATAGCTGTATGTCAAGTATGATCAAGAAGTTCCAATCTACTGTTGTGAAATGATATAGCTCAAAATCATATGCCGAATAGCCTGTGTCCAAATTCCATCTTTTGTTGCTCAGAGGACTATCCGAATTCTCTAGAAGGAAAATATTTCGAATGGAAGTTTAGCTCTTAAAGACTTACAATTCGGTTTTTGTTTCTGCTTCATTCGAAAACCTCCCAGGTTCTTTCTGACCAAGAATGCACGTCGGATAATATCTTTCTAGCCGGAAAATAGCCCAGATAGAACTATAAAAGCACATCTTCATCTTTGACATTCAAAAAGTAGTTGCAGTTGGAAAATTGCAGACGATGAATCAAGGTGTCATTCTTGTTTAATATGCTCCGCCAGAGTCACTTTTAAAGTACTCAATCTCTTGCCCACAGCTTCAGATATGCCGACTGGCACCTTTTGTTCTCGTGAACCTACTATCTTTTGTCATTCTTGACTTTCAAGCCGCTGTTGATTACGGTCAGTTTTTCATCACCGCTTTAATCTGTTTTTTTTGTTGACGAATATTATCATTGCTTGTTCCGATAAATCCTTTCTTTATGACTCTATCAATGATACACTATGGAAGCTTACGCCAAACATCATTCCAGAATACTCTGGCCACTCATATTTTTCTAAGCAAATACTTCCCCGGGTTGACTGGAGCTTGGGGGTCTATTCAAAAAGTTCTTCTGTTGGTAAAAATGGACATTACCGAGTCTTATACATTCAACGATACTCGACTGACTTATCGATACTTCGTCTGATCCCTTCTTCTCAATCAATCCTGGCTTCAGTAGAAGCTAGAAATGCCTCATGATAACGTGAAGAATCAAGCAACCCTGTTAGTAAATCTCATGCAGCGAGTGCTGCAATGTGGCTTCTCCTATTAAGCTTCTCTATCAGCCAACTTTACTCAGTTTCAGAAAGTGAATTTGGAGCCAGCAAGATTTTTCACCTGCTCTAGCTGTATCGTGGCGTGACGTTTATTTCTGTCACGCATGAGCATCTTCACTACCTACTGTGGATTTGATACTATTGAATCCACATATCCTCGATTCCTGATTTTCATTCTGATCACGATTTTTCACTTATTGGAGACTATTATCATTATTGCGCATTTTAGAATTGTATAGATGCGAATCGTACTAGTCTCAGTATCACCTCAACCATATACAATGCTCATGGTGACTAGGAAGCACCGCCAACCATGCAAAATCCCTAATCATCGACGACGATAAGAAGCTTCATCGCGAAACGCCCAACTCTCCTAGATTGGCGTATGTTATTTAATCTTCAGTAACGTTGTTCAGACAAGCTGCTAGGTAAATGACAAGATCGTAGCGCGGTTGCAGTTTGACTGCCTTGATTCATTACAAAGTACCAGTAGCATCTATCTTTCTATATAGTTATTAGCATAAAATTCCGACTACAAGTCATGAAATGCGATGAAAATCGATCACTCACTTACTTAATAGCGCGGATACAAATCGAATGGCACTAGCGATAATAATGACACCGATAGTTCCCAAAAAAATCGCAGAATCTGCCAGCGCTATCTTAGCAACAAAGAGGCTATATTTCTGGAGCGACTGAAGTTTTTGTCGCTCAGGACCATGCAGAATCAAGGGAAGTCCATTTTTGTCGATGGCAGCAAGCGACTTCGTGTTCATTGTGTGAATTTTGATTGTTTGAGCGTATATCTCGATCATCACTATGGATGCCGTAATGGGAGCCCTCAAGATCTCTGGAATTAACATGATAATCTCTAAAACTGCTAGGAGAATAAATACAAGTCGAGCGAAAGCGAAATTATTACAAAATCTCCCGATGCTGGTGCTGATACCAAAATCAAATAGAAAATTTGATACGATAATTGCTCCCAAGAGTAAGGCGTTAAGGATCGGCATGATGTAAGACATGAGCAGTGTGGTGAAACTTTGGTAAGGGGTGAACTCAATTGCTATTTGATGAGGTGACTTTGAAATGAAAGAGAATCGGATGGATTGTAAATGAGTATCGAAGTTGGACTGGATAATGTAAGTTTCTAAGAATTTAATAATTGTTTGTTGAAATGGAGAGACTATATGGAAAACTACTACTGACTACTGTTAACTACTACTGTCCATCATTTTAGCCATCATTTTACCGAAAGCTTGATCGCCTTGTAGTTCAAGGGCATACGGCAACGTTCTTTGTTCTGAATACCATCACCTAGAACTATTTTCTTCTTTCTAATACAACAAACTATCTAAATCATGTCTTGACATGAAATTCCTACCAACAATTGAGCAGACCAAAATTCAGAGTCCATTAAAATTGGTATTTCTTACTTCAGAGCCCATCTAGCTGTCAAGGTACGGGTAAAGACTTATATTGTACCATAAGGGTAGAAGAGCTATGGAAGGGTAAGGCCCTCTTATAGGAAGTAGGGCACGCTAATGGTCTATGCCTGAGGCATGAAGGCAACGTAGTTGGCGCCGTGACACTAGCGCATGGATTGTAAAACTCTATAATAAGTCTATTAAATCACTTATTGATATCTTACTAATTAAGAGATATTTTGATGAATAATATATTTGTGATATAATTTTATATTATAAAATTATATGATATATAGTTATTTAACAATATCCTTTATCAAATTGATTTATAGTAGAATAAAATGATATGAAATCATATAGAAAGTTATTGATAAAATAGACTACATTGATTGATATACTTTCTTTTTATAATACAATATAGTTTTATGAGATAAAATTTAAATCTATTTTCTTTATAAATATAAAACTATTAGAATTTCATTATAAATTATATAAATCTAGGATATTCTTCAAAGAAAACCTAAAAAAAGTAAGCAATTTAATTTCAATTCAGTCTAGCTCTTATAAATTAACTTCAATTTAATTCTTATATTATATATTCTACTTATTCCTAAGCTTAAATTGAGTAGATTTTCTATTATCATTACAATAATATTATTCTCTTATTATTATAAAAGCTAACCTCCAAGATGGATTTCCGGAATGATTCTAAACCTATCAAATTTTGAAGTCTACATCGAACTCAACCCTTTCCTAGCTCGATCATCTACTGTAGGAGAAATCATGCAATTAAATACGGCTTCATACAGTCATTTAGCCGCTGAGCTGGCATAAGCATGATACGGATGTTTAGATCCAGAGCCTATATCTCGACACCGTAAGACAGCAGATGTTTTGAGGTGCGACGGAAAGGTACTCTACTTCGCAATATACAAAGCCCATCTAACAAACTTTTCGGTCGGGTTGTGACTTTAGCGAGGGGTGGATTACTCTGTCATCGTATAGACCTTTGATGCAGAAGTACGACTCCGTGATGAAAAGCGAAAATACCTTGCTATTACAGCGAGAACATCGCTTGGAGAAAAAGGGTCTGATACTTGGGATAACAAAGGATATTAATTATGATATTGGAGAGTCAGTATTGGAATGATAGAGAGGCCGCATAGGAGGCTCATCCTTGATGTTACAATTGTTGGGCTGGCTTTTACTTTAACTCAGGATAGTTGATGCCGATCAGAGAAGGAAAGAAGTCAAAAAGTCTAATGTATCCCTTGAAGAACTCTCTCGGGGCTAAGGGCTTGATCTTTGCGTGTATTTCGACGAAAAAGCAGGGCTAGTGTATAAGCGGAGTGAGAAAATACAAACAAGCGAATAAGGGGTCTATCGGAACCTTTCCAGTGCGTTCGATGTCATTATCAAATTGAGAATATTAATATTAAAGTTTTGATATTAATCTGTATCATAGAAGAGAGTTAAAGTTTTCTAAAAAGAATATTTTATTATTACAGAATTATTTAATTAATCAAGATACTTAATGTGAAATAGGAATTGATAAAGAAGTTAAAATCTATAATATCGATCTTCTTTAAAAAAAAAAAAGAGAAATGATTTGTTGAATATTGAACGGACAATCAGAAGGAAAAAAACATCCTTATTATTGCTCTTATAGACTTATAAATCTCACCTCTTACTTCCTCCTCTCAAATATACTAGATTTTACCGATCTTTATATAAATCTTACTTTTCAGATTTATGTAGAACTGTATCTATACAATGCAAAAGTGGTGAGACGCGATGGGCTTCGAATTCCTAGCCCTTTTGCCTTTTCCTCTAGAATCCGAACAGTAAGGTCTCTATTCCAGTTTTGCCAGAAGCATGTTAATGATTTCCGTGATTGTCATCAACAACTCCTCTTGTTATCATCAACCTCGATTCTTCTGATTATTTATCACTCGCTTCTCTTGCTATCACTAGATCCTCAGTCACCAATTCCTGACCTTCACATTTAATAGTTTTCGGTGTACAAATCTGCATTCTCTCGAATTTCTCTCCACTTCCCACACCCCCATCACTGTAAACACTCACGGGACCAAAGCTCCATACTTCTTGCAGTTGACAAATTGCAAGGAACTTTTCAGAAAAATTATAACCCGAAGACGGCATGTATTGATATACCTTGGTATATGTTTCTATCAACCTATACTTGTCCCATATATCTATTATAAACATACTTACATTCTTCCTTGATATATCTCTTTTCTATTATACCTTTTATCCTCCTTTCCTCTTGCTTTATCTCGCTTTATATCTTATCCTATTTCTTATATAAATATTCTCTTCTTTATATATATTTTTATTTTGTATATAATAATACATTAATAGAATATTATGAATTCGAAAGATCTTTATTCTATATCTCATACTTCTATTTTTTCTAACAATTATAATTTTTTTTTTCTGAATCTCAAGTTTATTTATTTTATTATAAAAAATTATTTTGTTTTCTTATTATTATCAAAATTTTTAATCATTAACTTCTTATTTTAATAATTATTATTATTTAAAATAAATCTATTATCAAAACTATATTCATTCCAATTCTAATTCTCTGTATTATCAATTTTCTTTTTTTTCTTTATTAAATTCCCTTCTAACTATATCTCAATACTTCAATTTCCTTTTATTTAAACACTATAAACTCCTATACTACACTACAAATATGCTTATATTCTTCCTTGATATATCTCTTCTCTATTATACCTCTTATTCTCCTTTCCTCTTACTTTATTTCGTTTCATATCTTATCCTATTTTTTATATAAACATTCTCTTTTTTATATATATTTTTAGTTTATATATAACAATATATTAATAGAATATTATAAATTCGAAAAATCTCTATTCTATATCTCATATTTCTGTTTTTTCTAATAACTATAAGAATTTTTTTTAAATCTCAAATTTATTCATTTTATTATAAAAAATTATTTTGTTTTTTTATTATTATTAAAATTTTCAATTATTGACTTTTAATTTTGATAATTATTATTATCCAAAATAAATCTATTATCAAAATTATATTCATTTCAATTTTAGCCCTTTACATTACCAATTTTCTTCTTTTTCCTTACCAAATTCCCCTTTAACCATATCTCAATATCTCAATCTCTTTTCATCTAGATACTACAAACTCCTATACTACACCACAAACATGCTCAACTTCTAATTGGAGTCTAGTAATTATCCCAACAGAGAAAGTCGAACTCAACTCCTGTTGGTAGATTTATATACAATGCCAAAACAGCCCTATATTCTCTTAACAACATACTCACATCATCTCATCTCATTCCCCCCAATTTTCCGCTTTAATGCAAAACCGCTTCTTCCATCTCTAGCCCTACTTCTTTCCTTCATTCTGGATATAAATCCCCATAGTTATATCTTACTTCATCTCTAATCACATCACGTCTGGAACTTTTCAATACCATGTGGAATCACTGCGAGGGTCCAGTACTTCCATCCCTCCTTGAAGGATAATAGCAAGCTGATGTATCTATTTCCTTTCGCAATACATGGGCCAAGTCTTTTAGATTCCCATTTTTCTTATCATCCGTAGCTTATTATCACTACCATGATTAACTTTCATTATCGATATATTCCTTCTTTCACGTCAGTACTTCTTGCTATCAAATACCTTTTATTGAATTATACCCATATCACCACCTTAAATCGCGACATCAATACTATCCTACTCCACCTCTCACCACCCTTTCCTTCCACTTTTCCCCTGCTCCATTCTCTATTTCCATTCATATATTCCACTAAATGCAGTACGTTGTCCTGTGCGCCAACTTTCTTAAGGAGAAGTCTCTACAAAGAAGAAAACTCGAAATAGGTGATAGCATCTAAATATACCTCTAACACAAATATTTCAATTTCTATCTCTAGCCTATCACTCAAATTTACTCTTCGATTTCCAGTGAATCTCAAACTAAGATCTACAAGAAACTCAGATCGGTATACGCATCAGAAATCACTTAAAGAGACACACGCTCCATTCAGATCCACCTCTAGCCTTGATTTCCCCCTTCTATTTTTTTCCCAATTTTTAGTATAAAGCCTTTTAACTTTTCTTCTTTCTCATCTCATCAAAACCCTCTTGATCTGTTGGTTAGTTCCAGGAAAATTCATATCCCATCGATTATTTGTTTCTCAGGTCATTTTTGTATTGCTACTGCCTAAAAGGTTATGCCAGGAAGCTCGAATCTAGTAGATCCAGAGATTCCAAACGCAATACATCGGATTACCATTGCTAGAATAGCTATGATATTATCATCATCATCTCTTCTTCACTATCTCCAACACTCCCTTGTTATCAAAACTCTTACTTTATCCATTCCCCAATACCCCAACCCATCCCCTAACCATCCAATCCATCTCTCTTACCCCTCTCACTCACAATCCATCACACCCATCTCCCCAACATCGCACGGAAATACATCTATCCATCTATCCCACACAACATAGCTATAACCCACACACAAGAATACCTACCTACAAGCAAAAAAAAACAAAAAAAAACATAGAGCAGTAAATGCGAAATTTTACACCCCTCACACTCACTATTCATTCCCACTCACGACCTCTAATCTCAACATCTCCTCTTCAACTTTCCAGAAGCAACTCATCACATCACATCCCTTTTCCTCAAATCATCCCAGAAATCATGGAAACTCCTAGATAAATTGGAGAGTCATATCACTCGGGATATGAATTCTTATTAAGCATAATTGACTGGATGGGTGTCTATCCATTCAGCCATCTATCAAATCCGCATTTCACCCCATGCATCTCCTTTCAAACTCTCCACTCCACCCCTTTCTAGAAAGCCTCCCACTCATGAAACTTCATCCATATATCTAAAAGAGATAGGACAGAATCAACATCGATGGCTTATCAGCATCTCACACTCTCAGCCCCGTGTTTCCAATCCATCCACCCATCCATGCTCTCTCCTCCCATCTCTCATCTCAAGTTTCAAGAGTCTACTTCCTATCTATCCCATCAAATCCATAAGATTACTACCTACATCCCATAGATTTTTATTATCGTTTTTAAAACCCCGCTTAAGTATTATCATCACAGCCATAGCTTTCGCTATTATCATTATCATCATCATCATCATCATCATCAGTCTCTACTCAACTCAACTACCTACCATCTACCATCCATCCCCCTTCTCCAAATCATCCCATCAACAACAAACACTCTTCAGCTCAATACAAACAAACAAACCAAATAAACATCCTCGTCAGAAAACACACTACATTACACTACACCACAGCCCGCAGCCCGCAGCTACCTTTGTTCTTTATGTATTCGACTCCATCTCCTCTGATACAAAAGAAACTCGAGCTTGGATATACCTATATATACCCCCCTCTCGTGTATACTATGTTTGACACTTCCTCTCCAGGTATTAGAGGTTCGTTTTTGATACTTAGATTCACTTAATTTTATGTATTCTATTTACCCTCCTCTTTTCCACTTCTTATCATATGCAAATCCATACCCATACCCGAACCCACTACCTACTCTCATCCCCATCCCCATCCCCATCCCATCCCCCCCCTCCCCTCTACATCTCCAAATTCCAAATTCCAAAAGCACTCACTCATACCTTCTCAAAAGATAATATAAAAAGCAATCGAGATTCGGAAACAATGCCATGCTATATCCCAGACCGATTTCCATGAGCATTACCCATTAACCGCACCAATTTAACTCTCACTCTCACTCTCATCCTCTCATCCTTCTTCTCTCCTTCTCTTCTTTCACTCTCCCTTCCTTCTCTTCTCCTCTTCCACTCTCCCTCAACCTCTTATCACCCCCCACCCCTACCCCCACACAAAAATACCACTTCCTCTCCCCTCTCCCTCTCCCCTCCACCTTAACCAACTTCTCCTTTCCCCCTCCACCCTTCCCCAGCCTCCAACATCTATTCCACCCCAGCCCATAAATATCAATTGTGTATATACCTGCACTCTCGCGTACGCATTCCTCAAATGTACACCACACACTTGATCACTTACTTATATTTGCACTTTACTCGGGCCCAGTCAAATTAATCACTTTGACATTCAACTCTTGCAACCACAAACATACTCATATCATGACATATTATCACAACACGCAAGGGATCAACACATAATTAGTTTATAAACCCTCATATTCTTTGAACACCTCTCAAACCACCATCCATCCATCTTCACATTCTATGTATTGAATTCGCAGCGCAAAATAATCCAAGGAAACTTTTCGGCACATGAAAATCAAATGAGATGACTTTGAAGACAACAAGATCAAAAGGAGGAACAGGGAAAAATTGCTTAGGTAATAAAGTACAGCGGCGACTAGTTTGTCTTTTCTTTTTTATGGCAAACTATCATTGCAAGTTGCTCCAACACCATAGCAATGGATGTCTGTAACAACTTCAACCTTGTCGCTTTTCAACCACGGCGACCGACCCCAGAGGCGCTCATTTCGCATTATCATCAACCACCATCACAATCAACCCCCCCTTGACTCCATTCTACATACATTTACTTGAATGCCTTTCCGAACATCAAGACTTGCATTTGATCGTAGATGGACAAGACACCAGCACCTGCAACACCACGGAGAATGTTGGCACCAGCACCCTTGAAGAGAGACTTAACTCCCTCCTTGGCAACGATTTGACGACCAGCATCCAAGGAAGACTTGTACTTAACGGCCTCACCAGAAGTCATCATCATACGACGACGGATGGTGTCCAATGGGTAAGAAGCGATACCGGCACCAGTGGTGACAGTCCATCCGAGCAAGAAGGATGCAAGGAAGTTACCCTCAAGAGGTCCAACGAGGAGGACTGGCTTGATGGAATCGTACATACCGAAGTAAAGACCACGGTAAACGACGATACCAGCAACGGAAGGACCGAAACCACGGTAGAGACCGGCAATACCATCGGAAGCGAGGGTCTTCTTGTAAACATCGACCAAACCGTTGAATTGACGGTCACCACCGGTCTTGGCGTTCTTGTTGTCGTTGGCAAGACGGGTACGGGCGTAATCGAGGGAGTAGACGAAGAGGAGGGAAGTGGCACCAGCAGCCTTTTTTGATTAAATTAGTATGTGTATAATGAAAGGAATTCAAATGATAAACTTACACCACCGGAAGCCAAGTTACCGGCCATCCACTTAGCATATCCATCACGGTCCTTCTTGAAGTTGAACATCGACTTGTAGGTATCACGGAAAGCGAAGTTCAAGGCTTGTGTAGGGAAATAACGGATAACGTTGGCAGTGTTACCTCTCCATAAGGAGGCAACACCTTCTTGTGCGGTGGTACGTTTGAAGCACTCAACGATACCATCGTATTTACGGTCGAGACGACCAGTCTTCAACATCTCATCCTATGAACCGATTGTATTAGTAAACGTAGATTCCAAGGTGGGATGGATTTCGTTTTGGGGTAATGATTTTCCATATTTTCAGATACCCGAAGTGGAAATTGTGCACATTACTTCAATCTGCACATGTGCATGTGCAAATTGTTGTATCCGAAAGAATAGATTGAAAAGAAATGTTCGATATAAACATACCTGGTTTTGGATCAAGAGCTTGACACGCTCGATGGGAGCAGCGGCGGTCTTGGAGACGGCAGCGGAGACACCACCCACTATCGCACAAGTCAGTATTGTGAAAATTATATCAAAACCCCTCCGAATTCCATTATTTTTTCAAAATCCGTGGGAAAAGATTGTAAATTTTGTCGATTTCGAAGGAGGGGAGATAAACGTACTCAAGAAGTCAATGATGAAAGGTGGACTATGGAAAGATTGTCAGTATCATGATTGACTTGAACAGATTTGTTTGTGGGAACTCGGGGCCAAAATGGAATATTTGCTTGATCAGGAATGCCATTGAACAACAACGATAACTTTAGGAATTATTGATGTGGGATAACGAAGATCTGGATAATATTCGAGATATTCCAATTGATCTCTTTCTTGTTTCATCTCTCGATTCCATGTTGATGTAGTTGTTCATGTGGCATTCCGAAAAATCAATCAAAATTCCATCCATGGTCGTCGAGCTCTTTCACAAGGAAAACGAGAATCCAGAATTGGTAAAGGAAAAGAGATATAACTTACACGCCCATGACGGACTCCTTCTTTGGTGGTAAGTTGCTCATATTGACGGTATTGATGATCGAAAGATCGAAAAAGGATTGAGAGGAGATGGGATTAAGGTGGTTGATGTTGGAAAAACAAGAAGAAGAATGGGAAGAAGAAGTTGTATTTTTGGCCCCAGGAAAAGATTTTATGTTAACAAGTGTGAAGATGGACAGCTTCCGAAATTACCCACAGAGACAGTGCGCTAAGTGGGAACTAATGACGAAAAGGGCTTAGCGGCTGAGCCGGGCGCGAGGAATTTTTTTTATCCTTAACTTTTCTATCCGCTGCCCGCACTCCCGCACTTTGTAGACTCTACTACGAAACGAAAGAGAGATAAAGAGAGAAGAGATAGACATCCATCCAGATTGAGGTCCTTTTTGACTGGATGGCGGCAAAGAATTGATACGTTTTGATAGAGTTGGAAAAGAGAAGAAGAATAATAATAATAATAATTTTTTTTTAAGAAAATATCTAAAGTATTAATTTGACACTTGAGCATCTATTTTTAATTCTTCTATAATTATTGATATCTATTAGCTTATAAGTTTTCTATTGTGAATTTCTCTATATTAATAGATTAATTCATTTATGTATAGTTGTATCCTCTCTATTATCTACTCGTATCTACGTATCTTATTATTGTTTTCTTCTCTCTTTCGCTTCTGTCTTCACTCCCATCCCCATACAAAATCCCATTCCTTCACTCGCCTACAAACTCCTCACCCTATCTTTTCCGAGGTGTTGGTCTTGTAGCCTCGATAAATTTTTAGGACCAAGGGTTCTGGCGACTAGGTATACAACATCAACAAGCTACCTCACCTCCCCTTGATACCATTATCATGATCGGAAATTTATCAATTGCATCGAGAGTAAAGATTCTTCTATAAAACATGTCCCCGTTTCATAACTTCCATTTCGTCTCCATTTCTTTTTTTTCCGTTCACTCTAAGAAAAAATTCCTTGTTTTTCAAGTATTTAGTGTACTTGATTGGTGTTTGATACTGCAATGTCATGCTTTGGTGGGTATATTGATTTTTGGCGAGTCAATCAGTAAGCATAGAAAAGTGGTGGTGCTAGTTGTGGATGAGGTACTTGCATACGAAGAAATAGACAACCATGATTGAGAAGGCGCCGTATAAAGATAAGTAGGTTGGGCTTGGGAATATGATGAGGCTGCTCAATGAAATAGATATGGTACGGTTGAGATTTACTCAATGAACTCAATCGTCATATTGATGAACCGAAAAGAGCAGGGAGTCTACCCAACGGTACTCTTTCTCTATTTTTCATCATTACCGTGAGATGGAGCATACATATATTGCAAGCTATAAGTATAGGAAGAACTTTGGATTGACTTCTGAGAAAGCTCCAGTCTCGAATCAACACTAATGGAAACACACAGTTCATCGAAAATACGCTCCGCTGGCACTCCCGAGGACTTCGGGGTTGGTGGGCGGGGGAGGGAGTGGAAGACTTTCGATCTCTTTAGGTCATCATCAGAAGACTTCCGACCATGATAAATCAGGATCTGGAGGCTTGCTTTGATGATTATGATTCATCGTCTCGCAAAGACGCTCCGCTGGCCCTCCGGGGGCCACTGCCGTGGAGGCAGACTAATCGGAAGTTGAAATCAAGCTATGTTGATATATACGGATTCGTTGAGAGAATAAACTTGATGATGTTAGCTGCCCAGAAAAGTTCTGAGTAATTCGAGAAGAGAGTCGTCTCCAAGGTTATCTCCAAGCACACGACCATGACAACGGCGGAATCGGTCAGTGGTGTTTTACGGAATTTGAACTAGAGAGAATCATCAACTAAAAGAAAGTATCTACTATCACATCCATCTCCTCTGGAGCGAAGCGAAGAAGCCTCCACGGCAGTGGCCCAGCGGAGCGTCATATTCTTCCTTATTGATATAGGCAATACGGCTTCAAATATTCATGATAATCAATAGATCGGAGTCAAGAGTAAGGATTTGAAGTACTGCTATTTTACCAAAATTATTAGAGTTATAGACAAGAGAACCAATCAAAATTCAAGCATTGAAATATCAAATAGATAATCTCTCTGTTTACACATATTTTCGATGTCCATCATACCAATCATTCATGCTCTTCGCTCTGTACATAAATTTTCATCCCATCTTTCTTCAAACCTCTCTCTGTACTACCTACATTACCTAGGTATATTGAATGTGTATTAGTCAGCTTCAGCTCCAGATTCCTTGTTGTTGTTCTCCGGGTAACCACACTAACCAAGATAAGCATTAGTAAGTGAAGTAAACAATCCAAACTCGGACCACAATTTACAATAATATCTCCATAAACTTAATATCAGAGTTTGTACAATTCTTTTTCAAGACATCATACCGACTGATAGATTTCTGGTTATACAATCAAATCCATTCAACTTGATTCTGAATCAAATCCAATCATGGATTCACCTAAAAAACTGACAGAGAATTGTCCTCCAGGATCTCCATTAAATCAAATATCTCCTGAACGTGCCAATCAACAAAAACAATGGGATTTACCGACATCTCCTACCGCTACAGAGAAGGGTTCGAAATCGAGTAAACATTCAAGAGATAGTTCAGTCAACGAGAAGATTGCCCAGTTCAATTCTTTGGCTTATCAAGGGAAGCAGTTGGAAAGAAAAGCAAATGATGCGGCTTTGAAGCGCGCCATGGTTGGGAGAGAGGAGGCGGAGAGTGAAATGCGCAGATATAGGGATGAGGCTAGGATATTAAGGAGGCAAGTCGAGGAAGGAAAAGAACGGGAAAGAAAGGTTGGAGAAAGACTTGAAAGTGTCATGGTATGTTATCGACATGCGCGTCATTCCGATCATCTGCTAACCTCTTATCTTATTAGGAAAACTATGGTCGAGCCAAGGAAACACATTCACATACACAAGCATTATGGGAGAAGGAAATTCGAAGAGCTCGGAAAGAAGGGTTCAAATCACAATCAGTCGTTGTCAAATTACAAGAAGAACTCAAATCTTCAAGGGATACATTAAGGATGGTTCAAGGTGGTTTGGAACAAGAAAAAGCACGAAGTGTGAAGAGGGAACAAGAAGCATTCACAGCAAAATATCAACTTGTGGAAGCGCAGGAAAAGTTGACAAGATTACAAGAGAAGATTCAGTTGGTTGAACAGGAGAGGGATGCATTTAAGACGATCGCTAAGAATGAAGAAATCGCCAGAATTGCAGCAGAAGGACATATACCATTACCACAATCCACCAAGGACGAATTCCCATCGCCAAAGAATGATCGAAAATCTATAGATGCTATGGCATTGGCATCTGGCGCTGGACAAGAAGAACTTGATGAACTTAGACGCAAATTGGATTGGGAAATTCAAAGAGCAAACCGAGCCCTTGATCAAGTCGAATTTTTGGAGATGGAATCGAGCATCCATACATGCGAGCCAAAATCCAACAAAAGAAAGTCAACTGATACACAAGAACATCGTGAAGATTCGACAAGACAATCCAAAACTCAAAGAACAAGTACAGTTTTTGTACCTTCTGAAGGTATTTTCAAATCTGTACCTGAGGAATCGGCAGCAGAACCAGTTGAGAATACATCCTTGGACACCAAAATGCAGTTCGAGCAAACATCTGGAAGTTCTACTCATCAACGAAGAGACGTAACTCCTTCTCACGATCCACCAGCTGCGGCTCTTATTTCCGATACCAATACTTCTTTACTCTCTATCTTTAATGAGCCAACCAGTCCAAAAGTCACCAGATCACTTCAAAGCCCGATCAATCTCCCTGAGAACGAAGATAAAGACGAAACAACTCCAGAAGATCTAAACGGTTCCACTTCAACCACAATTCATCACCCACAAACCCATGAACATGAACATCATGAACATGACCATGAACATGAACACGAACATGACCACGAACGTCACCATGAACCTGCTTTCCACACAGTGTCAACCACAACCCGTATCCCGCTTGCTTCTCCCTCGGAAGAACAAAGAATCGAATTTGCACCAAGTACACCGAAATCCCTCACTCTCCCAAATGGTAGAATCGATCCAGCTTTGACAGCGACAGTGTCAAGAGAAGAAGCCTTGGCTATGATTAGAGAAAGAAGAGGTAGAGCTAGAAGTTTGGCAGAAGGCAAGATGACTCCGAGAAAGCAAATGATAGAGGGTGGATCGAGGAGAGATATAAGTGCACCAGCTACTACTGCAACACCAGTTAGAGGAAGAAGTCAAGGAAGGTCTTAGTGGGTCAAGGGGTATGAGTGGGAGAGTTGAGATGTTTATATTCTGGTGGAATGACTAGGGTTTGGGCTGTGAAGGGGTTTAATTTTTCTGGTAATACTTAGGGATGGAATGGGTGGACAGTACATTGTGAAGCAAGGAGCAAGGGAGTTGGGGTTAAAATAGTTATATATCCGTCCGTCCATTTAGCACCGGAGTTCTTGTCTTTTATCTTTGGAAAGGAGAGGGCTCGGTATGTGCTGGTTGGATTCTGGGTGGGTTTATGATTCATGAATGGTTTGGGTTGGGTCACTCTCTGAGAATATTAGTTCTATTTCTTTTGTTAGGTGGCTTCTTTTTGTGGTTGGTGAAGAGGTTGAGGTGAGGTGGGCTGGGTTGGATGATGATTAGGATGGAAAGGAGTTTTTGTGAGGTGCAGATATCAGGGTTGCAGAGTAGAGTATTGTGTGGTACATTGTGCGTGTGGGAGTGAGTATCCCACACAGTAAATAAGTAAATAAATGGATGGTATATCATGAATTTCCTCTCTTCTTGTATCTCTGAGGTTTTTTTATAACTTTTCTTATGGCTTTTCTTACAGCTTTTCTTCTTGCGGGATATAGAATCTGTTTACTTTGTATACTTTTTCCTCTCGTGTATATGTATGTAAGGAATTGAAAGTTTCAAGGTTTGTTTGTTTCTTGCTGATTGGGGTGGGGATGGGGATGAGGATGGGGATAGGGATAGGGATGGGAATAGGAATAAGGATAGGGATAGGAATAAGAATAGAAATAGGAATAGAGATAGAAATAGGGATAAGAATAGGAATGGGGATAGGGATAAGAATGAGGATAGGGATAGGGATAGGGATAGGAATGGGGATGGGGATTGTGGTGGAGGTATTGTGTATTGCTGATGGTGATGTGGGTGATGATAATGAGGATTTATATAGTGTGGGTGGAGATGGGGAATGGGTAGGTGAGGGCTGGGGGATGGATGGGGATGGGGAATAGGGAATAGGAATAGGGGATGGGGGATGGGTAGGGAATGGGTGGGGAAATGGATAGGTGAGGGTTGGGGAATTGATGGGGAAATGGATAGTAAATGCTAGATGGATGATAGTAATAGCTAAGGGCTGTTTTGCTTGTATTATTGATTTGAGATTTAGGTGTTGAGGGGTGGGTGTTGAGGGATGTATGGGGGGTATGGATGTTAAGTATTAAGTATTGGAGAGTGAATTGGAGAGTGAATTGGAGAGTGGATTGGGGCTAGGGGGGTGGAAGGAGGAGGAAGGGGGAGAGAAAGATAGGAGAGATGAGAATAGACGAGAACAGGAGAGAAGAGGAAAAGGGAGGAAATAAGAAGAAGAAAAAGAAGAAGAAGAAGAAGAAGGGATGAATGGATGGATGAATGGATGGAAGGGCTAAATGATAGAAATAGATAAGAGATGAGGAAAAGATAAGCGGGAGAGAAGCGGAGGAAAAAGATGTATATAAGGGGGAAAAGGGGTGAGAAAAGGAGAGGAATAATCAAGGGGAAGTAGAGAGAGAACTGTTGTGAAAAGAAGAGAAATCAAAAATCAAAAATCGAATAAAGTTTGATATTAGCACTAGATATCAGATTGAGATATTTTCGTTAGATTATTAATTTTTGTTATTCTATTCCGCTATTTACTTATTCTATTATCCTGATATACTTATTCTATTTTTTGGTTGGTAAACGAAGATGAAGATGAAGATAAAGGGTTAGAGAGAGGATGTAGTGAATGAGGGATTTTATTAGAGTATTTGAGGTGCGTTTTTTTTTTGAAGGGTGTGGAGAGAGGAAGGAAGGAGATGAGATGAGGGGGAGAGGAGATGAATTGAAAGAGAGGTGAAAAAGTGGAAAGGCAGGAGAAGGTAGATAATAAATGTTTGTATTAATATTATATATATTTTTACAGCTTATAACTTGAATTCTTTCGGTCGGAAATATAAATATTGCTAATCTTCTTTTTCCTAGCTTTTTATCTCCTTTTTTACGTCTTTCATTTTTCATTTTTTGTTTTTTTGTATGATAATGATAATCTATTTGGGGAGGAGAGGATAAAGGGGAGGTGTGAGAGGAGGATGAGGGGGATGAGAGGAGAGTATCTTTCTTTTTAAAGAAAATAAATGATGATGATGATAGCAACAATAAGGAGGGACTTGGATTGACAAGGGAGGAATATGATGATAAAAGCCCACCCACGGATATTTTTTCCATGTTTTTATAGAGAGAGATTTGGGGGGGAATTTGGAGCTCGGAGGTGCTTGAATATCTGATATCTGGTAGAAGGGCTGAATCAGACTAGGTTGTGATTTGGAACCCGTTTCCTTCTTCTCAGGTTTTCGTCATGGCATGTTGTTGTTGTTGGGATTGTGGTTTGTATAGAGGAGGGTGGAGGTAGGGAGGGCGGGTTTATATATGCATAGTGCGTGAGAGGGATTCTATGAGGAACATGTGCGTGATGTAAAATTGGAAGAGAGGTAGTAGAGTGCTTGGATTGGTATAGCAATACTTATTCCCCATATTTTCACAAACGTGATATACAAAGATGGAGCAAGGTAAAGGAAGCGGGAAGTATATAAACCTTCACTCCTCTTTCTTTTAGTCTCTATTCGAATTTTGAGAACATAGAGAATACTTTGCCTAATGGGTGAAGAGCGGCGTCTTGAATCATAGGTTAGGGGGATGAGATGGGGATTTTATGGAGAAGATAGATGAGATGATTGATGGAGCGAGGCTCATAGCGATAGGGATGGCGATGAGGATAACGATGGCAGTGGTGATGTTCATGTCGTGGATGTAGTGATTGATATTATGGGAATGAAAAAGATTAATGGAGAGATAATGACAATAAAAACAAAGTCTCGACAGCTCTATCCTTATAGATTTCCATCTTCGCTCTCTATATCATGAATTGCTCGAGAAGACACAAAAGATTCTGTTATGAAGCACCAGCTGTTCTTTTTTCGTTGCAATTGGTGTGCGTGTTTGCTCTTCCGATTTGATGGGGATTCGATGAAGGGAGAGAAGGGATATTTATATTAACCGAGAGATTTTAAAATGGGATGGGGTGGGCTAGCCTAAACCTCCTGGGTATGTAGTGAATCTTTCATCAACTGTTTCCCGATTATGTAATGAGCTCTTTCATCTTATGATGAAATCGTAGTATATAAACTCTCTTTTTTGTCTTCTGCTCTTTTCCTTGTAAATTTAATTATTATACGAAATCTCTTTATATTATGATATTAGTTGCCTTTATGTATGGATGGATGCCAGAAGCTGTTACATCAAACATATCACATCATGATCGACGCGGCTAAGAGTGCAGAAAATACCTTTATGTTTGAGCAGCCAACAATCTCGACTTCTGAGAGTCTAAGCGAAAGCTCATACTGGAATGATTCACGAGACGGAGCTTTTGTGGCTCCAAACCTGTGTCTTGATCTCAAACGGATTGAAATCTTGAATTTGAAGGATAGGCCTCACGATCTTGATGTTAAGAAGAGCATGCCCTTGTGACAATTTAGTCCTTGGGCTCTGCTCTGGTTCAAGACGCTGGCAAGATCAAATTCATGTTTCCGTTGTGAATGCGTTCTCCATTACTATACCATCTGGATTTGACAGGTCTCTCAGTTTGATTGGAATATGATTAAATTACTAACAAGGTGTCTTCAATTCTTCCTAGGCATAATGGGGTGCTCTATGGTCGGGCCACAACTGTGGTTGAATATACACTGTTCCTGTCGGCTCAATGACTTATCCTTTAAACAGATGAAGACGATATGCAGTCTCTAATAGCAGAGTAGAAAGATGGAGAGTTGCTACTAGCGCCGCATCTGCCAAGTCTCCTGCACAAAATTACTTGTACTGTAGGGTCTCCTGAACTTTCTCTTTCTCTAGTCTATAGATGTTTAGAACATTTTGGATGGCCTTTTCATTTCTCATCACACAAACACGATATTCCAAGATCGCTTACTTTTGAATGAATTAATCAAGTATAAGCTCGCTTTGTAAAATGTGATCAAGACTGAGTATAATCTTATTTACTCGCTTCAGATTCTGAACAATCTAGATGAAAACAACATATCCATTATCTTCCCCTAGTCTAGCCTCTCACTCGCCGAGGGAAAGCAGTTGGAAGTGGGATGCAGTGGCTCTCGTCTTTCTTGAACGCTAGGGATTAAACCAATCATAATTATTGTGGTTCTTGAATACCTCGTACGCTGCAAGGCTTTTGGTCTTCACTTCAGGGGTGACAAAGTAAGCGTTTTCTGGATTTTCCGAAGTCATTTTGGGCCATTCGTAATGTCGATCCTCGTAACTGATACGGTGCTGATCAAATTCCTCAGGGGTGATCAGTCCTGTGTCGTACATCAAGGTCCGGGTATGATTGAAGATTTCGTCTTGGGCCCTCTCCAAACCGTTCCCGTTCATGTTGTCCTCGACCATTTTCTGGAGCCTCGCATGATTGTTCTCCCAGAATTTAGTCCAGGACCTATCAAAGGTCTGTCTCATGAAGAATTGGTTCAATGTGGAGTGGAGTCGGACAACGTAGTCATGGGCATTTATTCCGAACTCCTTGAAATTATCCTTGTGCTGACTGGCCAAAAAGTGTGCGCGATCGTACCGCTCGCCACCCGATTGGGTCTTCTGTTGCTCTTTGCGTTCGACCATTACTCTACGTCGTTCATCTTTGGCTTGCCGGGCAGTGTTGTACAAATTGTTTGCAACTCTTGGGTCATAGGCGCCTTTACCTTCTTTTGATCGTTGAGTGTTACGTTCTTTGAATTTTTCTTTGAATAGTGCCCTATACGCCCCTTTCGTGATGGTTTTAGCTACTCCATCCGTCATCATTACTTTGCCTTTCACTTCCAAGCTCTTGACAGTACCTTCCGAGTCGATGAAGTTTATTGGATCGTTGGTGCAGTATCCGTATAGGTTTGGTCCATCCACGGTCCCAGCAGGATCTGGCGACAGCCATCTCCCAAGCCATGAAGCATAATATCGTGCACCACAGAGATCAAGACCAGTCTCTGAGTCTCGAAGGTATTGACGAAAGCGGTATTCTCGTGAAGCACCAATCTGTCCAGCAGAAGCCTTGAACGTGCAGGCGCCGTACGGCGAATATTCTTCGTAGTTGACAACCCGACCTTGTGCATCGAGCTCCAAACTGGGACTTGCTTCGTACCTGAAAAGAATGTCTCGAATAAAATCGTCTTTACTTTCAACAGAGGCTATGCGAGATGCTCCGAGGATAGATGAGACTTTGCTGGTCCTTTGAAGCGTCCCATTACCAGTGAAGGTCATTTCAATCTTGGCCTCTCCGATTTGGATTGTATCAGCCATCTTGCTTCCGAATGAGTCTCGAATTGAGGATCGTTCGGTAACTTTTCGAACTCTTTGTCCTTGACGGTTGTAAACAAAGTAGGTTGTCTCAGGAACGCCGTTGTTCACTGTCTGCTTCGAGCTTGATGACAACATCTGGTTGTAACCCCATTGCAAAGAAGAAAACCCGGGCATTGAGGTGATAAGTCCAAGTTGGCCTGCATCGCTGTCGTAACCGTATCTTTCTTCAGTTCCTGATACCACGGTACGACTCAAGCGATTACTCGAGACATTTGGGTCCAGGAAGCTGGGTTCTTCATAGAAGTATCGCCGAGTCCAACCACCGACCTTCCTATCGGACGTAGGCTGGTGACTCATGGAGGTCATATTGCCGGCCCTGTCATATTTATAAAGCTCAAGGAACTCGCACAGTTGCTGTTCACTTCTTTGTCCTTGGCTGGCAAGACTCCCAGCTGAACTGTAGGGTCTCGCCATTGATCCGTTTCCGTCGCTGCTGTCAATTTGTTCTCGGCCCGTGGCCGCAATCAGCTGACCAAGAACGTCGTAAGTATATGAAGACACAGGTTTGATTTGTTGATTGCGGAAAAAGACGTCTTGCTGTGCATCATTGACCTTGCGGATTTTGCGACCCAAACAGTCGTAAGCAGTGGTAACATCCTCTAACACCTTGCCGTTCTTGTCACGAACCTTTTCGTTTTCCAACTGTCTGGTGAGAGCGTTATAAGCATAAGCTGCTTGAATTTCATTTCCGTAAGTAATAGCCAGCACGAGATTGTCAGCCGCGAATGTGGTTTGAGAGATGATGGGCTTCCAATCTGACGCGCCTGAAGCAGCCGGAGATGACATGCTGACTTGCGTGAGACGACCCAGCCGGTCATAAGATTTCTTGGTCTGGTTCTTGTTGACATCGTGACTTTTTAGAACCTGTCCGTTATGATCGTAAAAGTCATGCCGGTCGTAGACAGTCTTTTCCATCTCAACTCGACTCTGCCATGAAATTACTGTCTTATATTCCTTGCAAAGCTGCATGCTCTGAGCAGTGCAGTTCCCTCGATTGTCATAATTTGAGAAGATCGCGATGCCGGATTGGTCCATTTGCTTCCAAATCTGGCCATGGAGATTGTAATCTTTGGCAGTTGGATGTTCCTCCCCGTAGATGAGTGACGCAATCAGTTGTTTAGTGTGGAGCTTGGTAGTGACCCACGTCTCCTTTTCTCTTCGAAGTTCATCATAAAGGAACAATTCAATGGTGCCACGTCGATCCCATGATAGCAGAGGCTTCCCTTGACAGTCTGCGAAATTAAAGTGGTCTCCGCCGTCCATAGTGCCTTGGTATATACATTGGTTGAGCAAATTGAATCGCCGGGAGATGACAGCACGCCCCTGCGTATCGTACTCCGCGATTATGTTGTGATTGCCGTCGTGCACATATTCAACGTTTCGAAGGAGTAAATCTGCGCCCTCTGTCTCCCTCCAGACATCACCTTCAGTGGTAATACGAGTGACAACAGGGGCGACTGGGTATTGTTCGGATTTCTCGGCTGCCAGGCGCTGCAAGTCGTCACCTTTCTTTCGAGTCTCCAGCCAAGATATCCACTGCAAATTGCTCAAAAGTCCAGCCACAAATCTTCCAATATCTGGGTCCCGAGAAGGGTCGGAGATGTGGATGGTGTCGCTTACGTCATAATGGATTACGCTCCATGGAGAATATACAGTCTTGCTCCAGGTTGCATTTGGAAACAGTGTAACGACTTCTCGTTGCATGGCGTCGTGGATTGATGTTTGAACAGGCACATCCAGATTTGACGGCGGTCTTGGCAAATGACTGTGGGTGTAAAACGCTTGGTAGGTCTGAACAACTTCATCATGGCTGTTTTTCAGAACACAGCTCTCACAACGCCACTCAGAATCTTTTTGGCCATGGTAGTCGAACTTCTGATACGGACGAGATTGGCCGTCGAGGTACGTAATCGACAAACTTACATCATACTCACCAGCAACCCCTGAACCGTCACGCACAATTGAGGCTATCGCTGCAGTGTAGAATTTATCTTGTGCCGTACCATAACGATGGCGACGCTTGAGGTCGTATATGACTCGCTCGTCTGCTGAGCCCAGGAGCTGCTTACTCAAAGCCTCTGTGGGCTGGTCGAAAAAACTGTCGATGAGATCCTGGTGGGGTGTTGGATCTAGTTCTTGTACAGTCATACCCGTGCTTTTATCAGGTTTGCCTACAACGGCGGTGCCGACAACGTGCCCTAAGGGATCCAAAAGACACTCGTGTATGTTGGAGTTCTCATCGACGATGACGACCGATTGCAATTTCTCGTAGTCGTTCTGCCAAGACACCTTATTGCCAAGCGCATTTGTCACGCTTCTTTTCAGCAAGAAGTATTCATCAAACTCGACAGTGGACTGATTGCCGAAAGGATCAGTGCTAAAGTTTGGAACGAAAAAAGCTGAACGCGCAGCTGCAAGCTCAGTACTTTCTTTTAGCGATGAGAAGAACTGGGTCCCGGATTGCGCCCAAAGACATCCATTCGTGTCCAGGTCAACGTACCCGCCTTGTTTGACTATTTGTGACAGGTCCGCCTGGTTTCTAAATTCGCCTGTTTGCAGCATCATATCTTCAAGCATCTCAGCAGTAAAGCCAAGAACGAAAGTCTGGTGCGCAATAGAGAAGGTCTCAAGCTTCCCCAGCGGTAACACTTTAGTCAAATCAGAGCTTCTGTAATAGACGCGAGTTTCATGTAACGTCTCATTTCGAAGGTTATTTGTCTCCCGGCTTCCTAAAAATTGTTCCAGTCCGTTAAGATCGACAATTGTCGATAGCTCTGTGCTATTTATGCGGTACAGCTCTGTGTGACACGGCAATGGTTTACGGAAATTGAAGGCATCGCTGATCGAATTCGTGTATGCAATTTCCTCGACCTTGATAACAGTTGACAAGTCCAGGACTCCTCTCCCAGCCCCAGTATTATATGGACTGTTAGATCTGCTCTGATATGTGATCGTCGCCGATTTTTGTGGGTCACCGAATTCATTGGTACTTAAAACCATGGTGTGAACAATATGTGGATCACTTGTCTGCATCTCGAGGGTTGTTGTCAATATCTCGCTTGGCAAGACCCTGATAACACCATTGATGGTTTGATCTGTTTTGAGCTGGACGCTAATAGTATTGTACGCATGTTCAGTCACGACATACGGAATACCTTCAGGGGTAGAATCATATGTTTCTGATCGCAAAATTTTTCCACGCAAAGACCGCTTAGCTTCGTGAATATCGACTTGATAATCCAGCTGATGCAAGCGATGAAAGATGGCCGAAGATGAGAAGTACGGCCTACTAGTAGGTCGATCTGAGCCGGTACTGTACCAAGTCTTTGTCAATGACGACGAAGTGGTGAAGAAAAGGTCCTTCGTAGGGAAACGTTCCTCTTCGTATTGCTCGACCATGCCAAAGCCGCGGAACTCTCTGTCTTGTGGATCGAAAAAGCCATCGTGATATCTGTATTTCACAGCTTTGGATATGCTGGAGATCTGATCCGTAGTTGTGATCTGGCTGACACAATGAACCGGAAATGGAAGCCTCGTTTCCCAAGGATGCAGCTCGGACTCGTCGGCGAGGTAGAAATGGGTAGAAGGCTCATACTGAATATCCACCTGTAATCCCATCCCATTCGTATAGGATATCAGAAGATGTGGTTTCGCTGAATTCATTAGGTCCAAGTATCGCAAACACATTGCATCAGCTGCATCATGAGACGGTCCTGTCCAGCAAAGACACGATGTACCAGAACCGAGAAGATCCACGACTTGAACAGATGCCAAATTGTCTACTAGAGGGAAAGCAGCAATGTATTCTGCGTCACTCCAGGAGTTGCCGCATAGATTATAGTATAGATTTGCACCTCCATTTGGGAGTATGTACAGGAGATCTGCTGTACCTGAGCCATCCACATCGATCAAGTGGATTCTCTTAGGAGAGAAAGAATCGTCGTTATCAAAGACGGGTCCATTAGACATTATGACCTCGTTACTGAATTTACCATAACCAATGTTGGACCAATATGACACTCGTCCATTGGAAATCGCAACGATATCCGACAAGCCATCCCCAGTCATATCAGTTGATTTGACAGACAGCCTATCGTCACCTTGAAGTCTAAAAGTTCCGGTGCTTGGTACTTGTGAAACCTGATGGGCGCCGAAACCAAGCTTGCCCAGTGATTGTTGCCACACAAGGGAATCAAGTGATCGCGGGTCCAGGGCATCTGCGAGACCGTTTCCAGTTAGATCTATATATATCGTACCGTCAGACGACACTAATGTAGACGAGATAGAAGATAGGGTAGAGAAGTCTGACCACCCGCCAGTTTCGTTACGTTCAAAGTAGCCATAAGGTCGACCGAACGTGTCAAAACACACAAGGTCTGGGTAGCCATTGCCATCTAGATCTTGCAGATGATGCTTTTCTGGCAACCCTGACACAGGCTGTGAACAGAGAACTTGGGTGTCTGTGAACCATGGTCCCATTTTATTTCGTAGAGCGCTCTGATTGCGCTGGAAATACAGGGTACCGCCATCCAAAGTGGTTAAAATTCCTGGAGAGCCTTCGCCATTCAAGTCGATCCATTCAGACTTCTCAAAGGTCACACCTGGCAGATATGGTATGTTTGATGTTTCAGCCTTTTTCAGCTGCAGTGTCTCTGGCGAAGGTAATATGCTGTACTTGAAGGCAAGAGGAGGCATAGATTTTGTGATGTAACTAAGACCACTCGCCTCGTTCAGCACTGAATGACCGAGAGTAGTACAGGACAACAATAAACTACCATGCGGATTCTCGTTGTATTGCAACATGAGCGACGAGGTCAGAGCATCCTTCACACCTATCTCATCTGGGAAGTGATGGAACATCAAGATCCTACGACAAAGCCGATAGTTTCTGATCTCAAACCCAGTGGAGCAGCTTGTGAAGGGGTCTTTACGGGTCGTCCAGTTTTGAACGGCCGTGGTGAGGGGAACGTCTTGCGCGTGCTCACCATAGTCAAATACCACCTCGAACATCCATTGCGATGGTTGTACGGAAGCTTCCCAATCTTGTATCTGGCGGCAGGGGGTGGTGTTGCCGTACTTGATCGACTTGATGTATTTTTGCCGCTGACGGGAATCGCTAGAGCGATTCATTTCGCAAAGAGGCATTCCATCCTCGAAGAGGCCAGATTCGTCTTCTCGTTTGTACGAGAAGTGTATAGCATTACCCAAAGTATCGTAAGTCTCAACAATGAGCCAGGCAAATATACATGGTCTATCCGTGGCTCCGTTCGAGATCCGAGAGTCTTCATCGCGTCCGAAGATTGAAGTGACGTTTTCGCTATTGATCGTCCTCCAGTGAATGTCCCAAGGGCTGGCCATCTTGCTCCAGCGCTCGATACGCATAGATTGCGAGACGACCCGTGGTTGATATTCACGAACACGAAATTCCCCAATCGTCTTCTCCTGCCATTTGTCATTATCGAGTCGAGGAACGAGGTCATCTTCGCCGGAGAGCACAAAAATATCCTTCTCGTCATCATAAATGGGGATATTACGAGATGTTTGTCCGACGACGGAAGAGAGTGAGAGACCCCATCCGAAGCCAAAAGCACCGTTGCCATGCCCTGAATCGTAAGTAAGATTCAGAGCAGGCCCAAAACCGGATCGAGAGCTCGAGATGGGGATGGGTACCGAAAATGATAAAGTCCCATTCGCGCCGTTCACATCGATGTTGGCTCCAATTGACTTGATAGCTCCTCCGCCCTTCCCAAGACTAGGAAATGAGCCAGGAAAAGATGGTCGGCCATGGGAACTGCTGCCGCCATCCCCAGCCTTAGCCGCACCATGCTCCGAATGACCACTTGCTATATGGGTCTTCTTGCCTCTATTTCCACCGTACATTCTAAGGGATTCACCAGAGAATTGAACTGCTAAGTTCAATTAATAAATGGATGTTGCCTTGGTCTATCTCAAAAAGATATTGACTAAGCTTTAACCATGAGGTATAACCACAAGATATGACCATAATATATAACCTTAACCAAAGAATCAATCCTGCTAGGGAATGTCTTGTGAGCAAAGGTTGTCCAACCCATACAAGCTTTCTATGTATCTCTAAAGGGTTAGGAATCAAGCTAGTGGGCAGCTTTCAGCCAGCCACTGTTCAGCACCAGGGTTGAGAACGAGAACGGGTCCGAGGTCGTGCAATAATTGTGTGGTATGGATGCCGCTTTTGTGAATCGACGGTATTCTGAGAAAACATGCTGCGTCTGGGGGACTTCATGATAGGTTCACCCGACCAAACGGATAACTCGATCGAAGCGCTTCCGATTTAATATGCCGCTGGGGTGCGGAATTGGCGTAGTCTATTACCGAGGCCGATAACGCGCATTTGGCACAAACTCCAAAAATGGATTTCTGCCTAAGCTAAAACCTAATTTAGAATTTAGTGGTGTGTATTTAAGAATAAGAATTCTTTAATTTAGTATACAACCTTAAATAAATCGATAAAATGAATAGAAAAGGAATATGTTTATTAATTAGAATTCAAGAAATCGATTGATATAATTGCTTTTGAATTATCTCAAAAATTGAAATTTATATTCAATTTAATAATACTTTAAGAATAAAAGATTGAATATCGAATTTTAATCTTCTTAAAATTGATTAGAATATTTCTATATTAAATATAAATTTCAATTTTTGAGATTATTCAAAAGCTATTATACTAATCGATTCCTTGAATTTTAATTGATAATTTTGTATTTTTTGTTTTTATTTTATCAATTTTTTTAAGGTTATATATTGAATTAAAATATTCTATTTGGTATTAAAGATATCATTTAAGGTTTGATTAGTTATTAAGCCTAATAATTAAGGTATTAATATAAAATAGATTTTTGAATATAATAAAAGTAGTTAGAATTGAATATAAATTTTAATTTTTGAAATAGATAAAAAAAAATATATTAATCGATTTCTTAAACTTTAATTAATAATTAAATCTCTTTTTCTTTTTTTCTATTAATTTCTTTAAAGTTATATATTGAATTGAATTTTTTTTTTCAATATTATAGAAACTATTTGAAATTATATTAGTTATATGATTTATTAAATAAGATAAGTTTGAATTCGAGTTTTAAATAAGAATCCTTATTAAGCTTATTTTGCTTGCTTTATTTATTCCGAAGTAGTTTATATATTATAAAAAAAACTATTCAAAAATAGATTTTAAATATTAGTATATTTTTTATAGAAAATTTCGAAATGAATTCTAAAAATATATAAATAAAGCTAACCCTAAAGGTTATTCAATGATATGATTTATTTTACAAAAAGTCTTCTATAAGGTTGAATTCTATCTTTTTTTATAAGATTTCTATAAATACATTATACAGATTCTAAAATTTCTTTTTTCATTAGGCAGAAATCTATTTTTGGGGTTTATGCTAAATGCGCGTTATCGGCCTCGGTATTATTCACAATTAGGCGGCGGCCGGAATGTTCTACGATCATGGCCTAGATCCCTTACAAATGCCTCGCCTCACTGATCCCGCAACCCCCTAGCTAATTATATGCTCAGTTTTTTATTCAGTTTTTAAAATGTAACTTTTCTATACCTTGTCAAAACTATATAAATGTTGTATTCTAATATTTCATTATAGCAAATTTATTGATTTGATTTCGATTTAAATAAATGTAATAAGTCGGGTACCCCACTTTCTGATCATCCCCGTTCTAGGCCACTTTTCATACAAAAAATGAAATTTTTAACTTTCCTATTTATGGATAGAATTCATTGAAAATTTATATATATATAATATAGATTATTTTTAGCTTATTGTGAAAATTTCAGATTTTCAGGATTTTTTTTGTATTGAAATCTAAAGCTTTAAGAGATTTAATTTTTAAATTTGTATAAGAATTATATATAAATTTGAAACTTTATAAAATCTTTAATAACTTTTTAATAAAAATTACTAAAAATAAACTAAATTTTTTTATTATGAGTTAATAATATATTTACTCTGAAGTACTGTAAAAGAGTAGAAGGTGGTAGGGTCATAAAGTAGTCCTTCATAAATATTATAGATAAGTTACTAAGATATAATATCTCTAGTAAAAAAAAGAAGGAATAGATACTATATAGTATATCACAAAGTATATAAAAAAATAAATAGAAATTTGATTGCTTTTTTTAAATTATATAAAAAAAACCTATAAATATTAATTACAAAAAGAGATTATATAACCAATACTAAGTTTTATTCATATTCCTCTCTATATAAAAAAATTGATTATTCCAATCAAATCAAAAAAAAAAAGAAGTATATTTTAAAAGAAAAAAAAATAAAAAAAATAAAATAAAGATGGATATAAATATTAATAATTCAAAATATAGCAATTTATTAATCAGCTTTTGATATCAATTGATATAACTTTATTGAATTTTGATAAAATTATAATAAATTAATAATTCAATAATTTAAAACTATTTTCGAAATTTATTATTAAATCCGATTGCTTTATTGATTTAAAATTTCAATACTTTTATTAGTTTTGTATTACTTAGAAGTCCTTTTTTGTATCTCAAATTCTAATTTTTTATTTATCTTTGAAGTCTTATTATATCTAAATCTCTTGTATTTTGAAATATTTAAAAATTTGGTTTTACTTTAATCTAAATTTGAATCTAGATTATAATTCGAATTAAGATTTTTATTTAAAATATCATCTGGATTTTTTTTAGGATTTTTATTAGAATTAGAGTTTTTATTATTATTAAGCAAAATAAATCTAATTTTTTTTTTATTATTTGATTTAATATATATATATTTATATTTATTTTTTGAAATATTATTAATAAATTCAAAATAAAACTTATTTCCATAACTTTTTTTAATAAACTTAGTATTATTAAATATTTGTATAAAAAAAAATTCGGAAATCATTTTATATTTTTTATATTATTCTTTAAAATCTTGATTATTTATAATAAAAAGATTCATTATTTTATTAAAAATAATTATATTATTTTAAAAAAATTTATTAATAAAAGTTTACTCAATAAGGTTTTATAAAGTTAAATAATATTTAATTAAAAATTCAGGAATTTTGTATTATTTATTATCAATAATATGTTTATTAAAAATAAATTTCAAATTATAATAAATTTTTATAATATTTTTATATTTCATTTTATTTCTAAAAACTAAATTTATATTACTATCAGAATCTAGTTTTATTGTTATATATAGAATAATAAATATAATAAATAATTTATTTTCTTAATTATTTATATTTTAATTGAAATTTATTAGATTATTATTAATAATAAAAATTTAAAGTATAATGTTTATTTTGTTGAATTATTCAAATTTGATTAGTTTAGTGTAACCTGCATACTTTTTTTTTAAGATTATATTTTAAAAATATTCCTTTTCAAAAAATTTATTAAATTTTCCAAAAGTTTTTTTAAAAAGATTATATTATATTATATTTTATTTGATTTTTATTTTTATTTTATTATAAAAAACTCTATATATAAACTTGTTAATATTATTATTAATTAAATAAATAATATATGCGATAAGATTATTAGTATATATTGTATTATTTTTTATGTATAGTTTTTTTGTATTATTGTGTATAAAGATGTAATTAAAAGTTTTATTAAATTGTATAATAATTATAAAAAAAGAAATAAAAATCAAATGAAATTCTCGATTTATATATTGTAATGTAATATTTTATTAGATTCTAAATCTTATTAAAAGATTTATTATTAAAAGGAATAATAATAATAATAAGTAAAGTCGAGATTTATCTTTTTATAGTAATTATAATAACAATATATCTTTACAAATTCTTAAATTAATGATATAAGAGTTTTCTTATAGAAATAAAAATATTAATTTACTAGAATATAAATACTAATTTTGTAAATATTAATTAATCTATTCGAAAAAACCTATATTAATATTAATACAACAGCATTTCGTTTAATAAATTTGAATTTGAAAATATTAAAAAATTTATTTCTCTGCTTTTTGTTAACTATAAAGCTTTTTTTAAATTAATAAAAATATATTTTATAAATATAAATATTATTGATTTAATTCTAATTTTTATATATATACTAAAAACGTTTGAATAATATCTTTTTATTAATACAAACTATTTTAAGATCAAAAATATCAGTAAATTAATAAATATAATATCTATAAAGATTAGAAAATATTTAATTAATTAGTATTACTATTATTTACTAATTAATTTGTTTTATAATATACTTTTTTTTAAATATATAAAATCAATCCTAAAACTTTAATATCTTTAAACCACACTTACAAATTTTAAATTGAATAATATTTGCTTTCTTTTCATTTTTCTTATTCTCTAAATTATTACCTTCCTTTTCTAAAAGATTATCTTATCAAAATACAATCTTTGTCACGGTCAATCCGTGTAAGGGCTGGCGAGGGCACGTGAGTAGCCCCTGCGGGGCTACTTCGGGCCGACGCCAACCCGCGCACAATTATAAATTGTAGAATTTTCATAGTTTAGAAGGATTAATGAAAAGTCTTTGTGCTACATTACACCTAGTTGATTCATTGCTATTATCTACTCTAACAATTCTTTTCATTCCCCTATATAGAGCAATCCGTCAACTATTTCTTAGTCGAGCAACCATCGGTACCACTATGGTTTCAACAAGAAGAACACCTGTCCCAAGGGGAGAGCGGGATACCCGCAGTGCGACTCAAGACCAATCCGGTGAAACTATCGATCAATTCCTGCAGAGTATCGGCAGCGATGCCCACTCGGCCCAATTGCACCCCCCTGGTGACAACGAGGATGTGTCGTTGGCCCAACAACTTAAAGAAATGAAAGAAGAAATG